GGGGTCTCTGCCAGTGCAACTGGCTGGTAGAGATCCGTCTTTCCCGGTCGGCTCCTTGCAGACGCCCTTCGGCCTCCTCCGAGTGTTCAGCGTGGTGATCCCTTTCCTGTACGTCGGGACTCAGATCAGCAAGAACTTCGCAGCCCTGCTTGAAGAACACGACATCTTTGTCCCAGAGGATGATGATGACGATGATTAAAGGGTATGTCATTAATGTCACTGGCAAGCTGATGATTTGTGCTTCCCGTTTGGCTTGGAGCAGGGAGAATCTCAGGGAAGGAAATACAGACAGCTACAGCTTGCAAGATGCATTTGCAGTTAAACAGAGGGACGCAGTATTGCCTCTGGCTACAAACTTTTCTGTTCTTTCATATGGGAGCAGGCCAGACTGGTATCTGAATGTGAAATCTCCACAAGGTACATTCGTTAGAGATCGGAATAAACCGATGGTGTTTCAGATCTTGTAATCTTGTCTGTACTGCAGACAGACGAGAGGAACTACAGTGTTATTACATATCCAAAGAGTGACAAAGCTGGTGAAGGGTCTAGAAAACAAGTCCTCTGAGGGAACTGGGGTTGTTTAGTGTGGAGAAAAGGAGGCTGATGGGAGACCTTATCGCTCTCCACAGCAGCCTGAAAGGAGGTTGTAGCAAGGTAGAGGTTGGTCTCTGTTCCCAAGTTGCCAGGTATAGGTCAAGAGGAAACTGCCTCAGGTTGTGCCAGGGGAGGTTTAGATTGGATATTAGGAAAAAATTCTTTACTGAAAAGTGGTCAAGCACTGGAACAGGCTGCCCAGGGAAGGGATGGAGTCATCATCTCTGGACGTATTTAAAAGACTGGTAGATGTGGTGCACAGGGACATGGTTTAGGGGTAGATTTGGCATTGTTAGGTTTGTGGTTGGCCTCAATGCTTTAAGGGTCTTTTCCAAGCTGAATGATTCTGTTCTGCATGCTTACTTGTTTAAAAGTCTTCTGCTAACTCACAGGATGACTATTTTAAAAGAGAATCACTTATTGCATGAAATTCTGATATAAAGGTGAACAATTTAAGAGAATTGCAGGACCCATCAGAACAAACTGTCTGGTGGGTATTAACAGCACTGATCTCTGGAGTAGTTAGACCATTCAGGCTCACTGAATAAAGGAAGAGTAGGGATAATTCACCTTTATCTGCAGTACACTGTGCTGCACTGCACTTTCCACCATTTTATGTTACTGCATTTGGCTGCCCCTGTGTCAAGACTTGAGTCTGGGTGTATCTGATTCTTTATAGAACAAAGTTGTTTTAAAGCAGTTGTTGTAAACAGTGTTACTTTATAACCAGTTTGGGGGATGTACTCCATTTGATAAAGGGATTTTCCAGCATGTGCTGCACAGCTGAAAACAAAGAACTAAAAGACTGCAAAGACTGCAATGGTCTGTTAGAAACTCCTTTGATGTAAACCCCACCTTGTGTGGTTCGGGGGAACGATATGGCCTGGAGCTCAGTACAGCGTATCTGAAAGTAATGGCTTATTCCTCTGTTTGCAGAACTGTAACGGAAGAACAGAAGGGAGAAAACCAATGGTTCCAACATCTGTCACCTGTGTTTTGCCCTTCCTAAATGGGACAGGGAGCTCCATATCCCCTTTGCCAGCGAGTGTCCTGCGCATGTCTGTATGATGGAAATCTGTAAATTGGGGTTGAAGGAAGTGTTTGATAGGCCCTGCATCTTTGCACACACACACACGCTCACCTCATCAAAGACTGCTTGGGATTCCTTTTGTTAGCAGTATGGGAAACACTTAATTAAAGATCAAGAGATTAAGATGTATGATGCCTTGTGTTTTTGTAGATTATGATATGCCTGTGTCCTTGCATTTCTGTCTTAACCATTCTACTGCTGTACAACTGTGCCAGTAAGGAGCCTCTCTTCGTATTTATTTCCTCTTACAAGTCCTTTCTGTAACTGTACAGCACATGACAGGAATCGCAGAGGAAGCAGCAGCCCAGTGCATATTGACACTGGCACTGCACTTCAAGTAATGCTATTTACAGCCTAGCAGGTATATCTGATAGAGACTGTATCATTAATTTCACCTCACTGAGGATTAAATACAGTATTATCATCAGAGAGTTCAAAGTTTTCAATAGCTTTGGTAAAAGGTTAAGATCACAAGTGGCAAACTAATTCGCTGCTGTGCTTTATAGTATTGAATCTGTGAACAGTGAAAACCTCTGAACACTCTGGCTCCAGGTACCTCGTATTTCCTAGGTAGTTCAGTACTTCTTTCTGGATGAGCCTTAATGTATTTATTTTCTTAATTGTGTATAAACTTCAACTCTTCTTTTCACAGGAGTGTTTACTGTTGTAATTAAATCCCAATAACCCCAACAGCTGTAGCGAAAGGCAGCTGGCAGCTTCCGGAGTCACCGTAACTTGGCTGCCCCCTCCTTCCTCAAGGCCACCTGAGAAGTGGTTGTTCCGGTTCATCTGCTCTCAGGAGCCAAATACCTGCTCCTGTTTTCTGAGCTGCCAAACTCCTTATCACTGCTTTATCCTGCCACCTCTCCTGACCCTTCCTGGCTGTATTAACCTGTCCTAAAAAACATCCCACTCCCAAAGTTCCTAGTTACACACATGTGCACATCCCTGAGGAGTGCTGCTTTACAGTCCTCATATGGGGAAGAAGGCCCCAGCATTTAGGCCAGGATAAAATGAATTTTGAGTGTACTGCAAGCATTCAATGATGATCACACACGGGGGAGCTCTAGCACCGAGCTACCTGCTGAAAATCCATTTTGACTGGTGAAAGCAGAAATTCTCCTTGCCCTTCTCAAAACACAGCTAGTAATTCCCGATTCAGTTAAGGAGATGATGATAGGACAACATCTTCTGCCAGGCATCAGCAGCTCTTACAGAGCTACACAACTGTACAAAACCCTATTTTTCCAGGTAATTTCATTTTGCAGCAGGGAAACGGATTCTGTGTATCATTTTATTGCACGAAGGGCTTTATTGGGCTGTTGGATTTTACGCCATCCTCTGTGAGAAAGTAGACAGAGACTAGTGTCCAAGTGAAAATACACAAGGTCAGCAAAGTCATGACCTGAAATTGCAAAACACTCCATGAATACAGATAGGCCTCAAACACAAGAAAATTTCTGTGACTCTGCTCTTTCTTTGGCAGAGCTGATGCCTACGCACAGGGTGGCAGGCTGAGCACACAGCCCTCCAGCCAGGTTGTGTTGTGGTTATTCAGCAGACACTCCAGGGCAAGCAATGGGACAAACTCCATCCACTGAAAATATATACTGGTAAAAACTAGAAAATCACAGCTCTGCATACAGATGCTAATGGCTTGTGCACAATCTGGATTCAGATTTAGTCATTAGGCTATACAACCTTTCTGTACAGAATTTTTTCTACTATATAGAACTTTATTTGTAATACAAGGCAGGAAGACACAGAGTCAATCTCTCAGGGATCATGGCCTGCATAGAATTTGGATAGAAAGTCTTTAGGTCGTGGGGTTTCCGTCTCATGGAAATACCTCATGATGTGAGTCCTCTGCTTCCACACCTGAATGGTTTCTTGAAGATCTATTTTTCCCTGTGCACAGACAAAAGAATTTTAGACTAGTTCTCAGTTAGAGTCTGACTCTAACTATACAGCACTACAAAAGTTATTTGAATGCACTTAGAAACACTCTTAAGACAGCTGCATCAATAATTCTGTACTCCAGAGGGCTGCTTGCATCACCTATACTGGGACACAAGTATCTATATGGTGATACTAATATATATACTGTCCTGCCCAACAACTTTAATGCTCCATGTCATATATTGTCTCTACAGCACAGCTTCCCAGCCCTGTGGAATAAGCAAGAGACCCTGCCCCCTTCTCAGAACCTGGCTTGTTTCTCTCGTGACCAGCACCCCCATAAAAGCCTACACAGTACTCCTAACTTTAATGCACCTCTATTTTATTATTTTTTGAAATAGCAGCAAGTTAGCTGTAAAGCTAACTAAAATTGCTGCTAATTGCTTTGCACCAGTATCACTACCATGGATATATTAAACATAACTTCTTCATGACTCCAGCCTATGAATTATTCTACTGGTCTTGGAGGATGACATCCCAGGACAGAATGAGGCTGCCAGGGACTGTCACCTACCCTATTATCTAGGATTCTGTTTCCAGATTTTTTTCATCACATAAAGACAGACTAGCTGTTTTGAAGTGCAAGAAATACAACAGCTGAGCACGGCAGTCCCTCGTTGGAAACTTTCTAATGCATTAGAAACTTCTAATGCAGAGGTCAGTTGTTGTGGCTCAAACCCATTTTGAAGCCTTGCCCTACTCTTGGTCTGTTGATTATTGCTTTGAACCAGACACAGCCAGATGTGTTATAGACTCGAGATGTTTTGCCACCCAAAGCCAGCCTCCCACTGAGTACTGCCACTCTAATGTGTGTTTCAGAACTGACAAAGAAAACCACATCCCAATCTAAGGAAGTAGACTGCAGGGAGTAGAAAGTACATTTTTAATGGTAACCTAGCTAGTGGCATCTTTTCCCATTTCTTTGATTGCCATTGTTTTTGAAAACAAGTAAACAAACCAACCAACCTAGTATTTAAACTACCATTTTGCTTGCCGTAAACTTCCTATTTACACATCTGCAAGCTGGAAGAGCCAGTACACTGACTGACAGAAATCCATATTCTAGCAATGCTTGACTTAGGCAAGTTAAGACACTATTCCTCTGCTTTATCAGCTTGTTCCCTTATCAATAGGTTTTTTTTAACAGAGATGAATCTATCTAGCTTGCAAGAGACAACTCCTCCATAGCCCAAGCTGAAATAAGACTGTGCCTCTTCTCCATCACACTCCCCACCAATTATCCACTCATATTCTCTGCAGCTTCAACAAAATGGGAATAACTTGTTTGTACCTTAATAACCAGCATGTCTATCACCCGTGGATCTGTAACGTGGGCATTCTTCCTGAACATCTCCCGCACCTTGTTACGCCCCTGTTTCACCGTAATGTCCAGCTGGTACAGATGCACTAGGAAAAACACCACAGAGACCATCTATATTGTGTTTCATTTTTGAGTGCAACTCAACTCCACAAAACACTACGTAGTTGCTTGTCCTTGCAGTGTCTGCCAGCTCTGCTAATACAACTAGTTTAAAGCAAATAATGCAGCCACAGTAAAAGTCCCAGTTGCCCAATTTTAAGGCGGCAGACAATCATACCATGCATCCCAACTCTGGAAAATTAAAGTTAGATTTCTCTTCTGCTTAGATACGACGAGCAAGTGGCAACTAAAACATGAGGAGAACGGGATTCCCCGACGTGGGGAAGCAGCCACGGCAGGGAGGGCAAGGCAAACCCGACCGCTCCGGGCCACTAGGCCTGCGCTGCCCTGAGGAGCGGCCGAGAGCCCAGAGCCGCTGTACGGCCCCCAACAACCACACTCACCCACCCCACACGCAGTGGCCCAGGGGGAGAGAAGGACCCCTCACACCCGAGAGTCACCGGCAGCCCCCGGACAGGCCCGTTAAAAGCCCAACGGCTGCGAGGTGGCCGTTAACGACCTTGAGCTCGCGCTTCCTCCCGCGCCCGGCCTTCCATGCGCGGCCGGCTCCGCGCCCCCTCACCCGTGTTGGGCACCTCGCGGTACCAGGCCCGGTACAGCTCCCTCACGCGCCGCTTCGCCTC